CTGCAAAATGACAACTTCTTATATTTACATCGATTAACACACATGATATTTACTCTACTCCAAACCAGTAAGTCTTCTAAAGCTTGCTTTAGATAATCTGATGCTTTATCAAAGGTGTAAGGCAACTTCACATCATCAGCATACATTAGAAGCAAAGTTGGTACATCAATCAAAGTAGGAAAAAAAACAACGTTTGGCACTTTACGAATAGTTGAGAGATTTCGAAATGGGTATATTAAGCTAGTTGAACCATTTATTGCGTCTCGCTTCTTCAAATATCATATTTTTCGTTTAATTCTAAGCAAAGAAGAGAGATAATTGAGTAAATTAGAAATTTGCCTCAAAGTATCCACAGGATGCAGTGATTGCATACCAAAAAACACACTTGATCTTAAAAGATAATGGTGCGTTATTCCGTTTTTCGGGTTAAAAAGTTGCACAAGGTGAAGCTGCTCTACCCTTTTACTTTTTAAAAGAATGATAAGGAAATTGTTGCAAATATAAACAAAAATATATGGTTTAAGAAGTAAAACAGAAGAAATCAACAAATGTATGAAAAACAACTATAAGAAAATTAATGTAAAAGCAAATTAAATTATTGATCGACTAAATATCTAAAGCATAAAGAAAAATAATTTTAAAATAAGGGGCATGGTTGACTACACCGACGCAATAAAAATTTTTTAGATTTAATGGAAAAATATCACAGTGGATCTTGGCATATGATAAGAATCTCTTATAAGAAATTAGTAATACTCAGCGGAGATAAGAGGACATCTCTGTTATCATAGAGATGGTTTGATTTTGGGATTAATTATTGAATGATTGTTAAAAAATGTAAAATTAAAATGATGATAAAAATAAGTAATAGCAATAATTAAAGAAAAATATATTTATTCATAAGAATTTGTTCGAAAATTTGCTGTTTCAGACTTATTCCGTTCCCATGCAACATGTTGATGAAAGTATGTATATGAAAATTGTAGTATTTAAATGTTGCAGGGGGCATTATAAACATATTTAAATGTTTCAAAGGTCGACTACTCCTAATTAGAGAGAGCATTACGTTTCGGCACAATTTTCAGCAAATTTTCCAAGGCTAATACTGTTAAAAAGCATATATGCATATTAATATACGTTATAAACTCAAAATATTTTGGAATATTTTTTTCATTTTTGGTGCGCATGAGTAGCCGAGTAGACAAAAGATACCGACTAACAATTTAATGGCCGGCGGCTTCAAATCACAAGTGCGTTAGAGCTTTCGATACAAGCGAGTATATGATCCAAGTTAGCAAGAAGAAGAAGTATTAGTTACAATTAATAAATTTTTATCAATAGATAGATATGTAGGAAAATGGAAAGTAGTTAAAACAATACGATTCTTATTAGTATCATTCCGGTTTTATATTTCAAATTTTATATCACAATTTATGGGCAAGTACGCACACACATTTTTTATATACTGTACGCATTCTTTGTACTTATCTAAATTATATAAAAGAAATTATCTCTTTACGATTTCTTACCGGCATAATGAATTTCACGCAGACACCCTAGTCGGCTTCCAGATCCCATCCAGATCACAATCTGCTACTTTTTATATGTAGAGTTTATGCAAATACTAAATAATATTATGTGAGTGGAATACTAAATCTCTGTCACGTTAATTGACGGATGTATTTGCTGACTAAGTTCAAATTTATCTTCCAATGCTTATTTTTTCTTTTTTTTGGTTTATAAAGGAGTAAAGGATTAATCCTGTAAATAATAAGACCCATATAACCAGTAACACATATATCAATTGACTCGCGTCCAACCATCTTTACATAAACTTTGTCATATGTGTGATTGCAAATAAGTCTGTGGAGGACCTTAATCTCCTAAGTCGTAAAGTTGGCATCAGAAACAGTTTTAAAGGTCATCAAAGGATGCATTTTGTAGAGAAGACAGTCTTCATTTAATGTTGCTATCTCCCGATAAATGTGTTTCTAGTTATGCATGATATTATTTCGAATTAGGCGGAAGGCGTTTTTGAGTCGATATTTGCTTGAGAGAACTCCTTCATTAAGCCGAGTTTCCACGAATCATTTAATAGCTCTTGATACGACAAGATGAACAGCCTAACCTGATACTCGTTGACCAACTGAGCCATCAGTGGCATAAATTGTGGAAAGGATAAAAACTTGTTGTTTGACTTAATTTGCCTTTTTTTTGGGGTCAACATTGATGGGTATAAAAGATTCGGTCCCGATCGAATATTAATTTTCTTAACTTCTTTTTTTGTTTTTAATTTAGACAATCATTTACAAGCAGGTAGGGGGTGCAGCATCCTAATTTGCTTTGCAACTAATATCGAAAGTTGCATCTTTTGAACTCTACAGAATTCGGTAATGCTGATCTACTCTTTAAATATTTACAAAGATTTATAGATGTTTTGGCTTTTATTGTTTTTGGCACAAATTTTCCTCAAACGCAAACACGTACTTCAAAGTTGATGGTAAGGAAGCTAAGGAAGGCTTCTTCATAACCATATTTGTGTTCCACATTCTGTGCAATATAGTTTTTCGGTCAATCTGTGCAACCCGACTCGATCTATGGGTTAGCAGTGAGAATCTTCGAAATATTTTTATTAAAAATCTTTCGGAAATTTCTTAGTTTTCCCCATAAATGCAAAATACAAAATTATCTTTTCAGTATTGAATATTTGTGGAATGGATGGACGGTGATCACATTTGTTATTGCCGATGAAGGTGATGGGAAAGTGCTTCAAAAATGTTCTCTGCTTTTATCCTAATGACAAATTTAGCCAATGAATGAGGACAACGTTGCTAAACAATGTAAGTGACTCTAGCAAAAATGCATGGAAGGGAATTAACGATTAAATAGTTGCTTTATCCATTTTTTACTCTACACCACTTGTGGAAAATGCATGAAAGGGAATCAACGATTAAACAGTTGCTTTTTCCATTTTTTACCCTACACCACTTGTAGGTATATGAAGTTAATGCCCGTTAGTAGGGCAGTCCAAATTTCTAGCTATTTCTAGATTTTTTCTTTAAATCTTCATGAGAATAAGAGATATAGCGAAATGAAAACTTCCTTTTAACAAAAAAGCAAATAAAGCTTGATATTTATGATGCAATTGCAATTTAATGAAATCTGTTGACGTATTCCGCTTTGCGTAGTGAAAGCATAAGCGCGCACCTTTATACTTTCGAAGCTTGATGCTCATCTGTTATACACTTGAATTACTTGCTCGATAAACTCATTCAATTACTACGTCACACAATCTGTACATGCGCATGGAAATATGCTATTTTATTAACCCTTGATTAGAAATAATTCAATGGAACTTAACCTCAATTTTTAACCTAAAAATTTATTTCATCACTCATAAAAATTATAATAATAATAAGAATAATAATAATAATAATAATTCATCTATAAGAATGAAGAATGTGTACGTATGTTTTAGAGGATCGGTCTCTGTTATATAATCATTAAAGCATCTATCCAGAGATTCGTATGATTTCTGAATTTTCAGAAGAGTAATGATGAATATTGTCTTCTTCATATTCAATGTATGGCTAATACGAATGACATTTTAAGAGAAATCTAAATTTCTCTTATTATTCGACGCTTCAATTATCCATATCAAGTGTATTTGTCTGAATGATGTATCGAATGAAGTAAATTCAATTATATGATTTTTATTGATTTTTGCAAATCACAAGAGCATTTTATAAGAAATTTCAAACCATATATGTCAAGTGGGATGGTTACAGTAATATGAGAATACTTTTTTTTCTTGAAAGATTTAAAAAGGGCAAACAAATAAAATAAGTAAAAAAGTAATATTTGGCGTGGGCCGAACATGAACGCATAGTCCAGTTAAAATTTTGAATATCCAATAAATCGAGTTTTTGTAAATGCCCCAAGACCTTATGTATTAAACGTTCATCATAATTAAATTATAACTAAAACGCTTTATCGCACTCTACTCTCCAATTCCTTTCATTTGATAACTATATCGAAGGTATCTTTTTGAAAAAACATTTACCCACTAGATTTAGAATTGATACACTTGGGTTTTCGCACTCTACTCTGCAAATCCTTTTATGTGATACCCATATTAACGGTATTATAATGAAAGAATTAGTTCACTACCTCGTAACGGCAGAGATATCGAATTTGAAACTAACGCAGTTAGCTTTTCGCATTCTACTCTACAAGTTCTTTTATTTCATATCCATATCACTGATGTTATGAAGAAACAATTATCACCCATCAAGTCGGGGTGTCTATCTATAGCTCTATTAGAATTAACTCATTTTTAAGCAGATAATAAATCTCCATCTGACGAGTGTACAAAGTAGTTTTAAACATTCAGTCTTGTTTGCCCTATGATAAATAGGCACAAAACTTTAAAAATGTGCAAAAAAAAATTTAATCACTTCCTACTTTGTGTAGGCATGGCCGATTTTTTTGCATTTTTGCGCATAAAGAGTAGAATGGAAATGATGATCAGCTTTCTAACTTTTATAATTTCTGAGTAACGAGCAAAAATCCACAAATTTGTGTTAAGAAAAACAAAGAAAGTTACGTTCAGTTTACGCTTCACTGCGCATTTTCATCTTTATGTCTTCATATATATAAACGCAATGTGTCTTAGTACCATTCGTCAAGTATTTTGCTCTCATCAAAACTCAGATACTGCATCAATCATCATCCACATATGCTATAAATGCAAATTTCCGTTATATACCGTTATTGCTAAACTTAAATCAAATGTATATTATTCCGATATTATGATATTTGTATTGCGCTGCATTTCGAAGAGCAGGCAGGAGCTTAGCTACCGTGAACAGCGAGAGATTTCAAGGAAAGTCTTCACTTTTATTATTTATGTTCATTTTATTACTTTTCTTTTTTTTTTTTTCTTTTTTTTTTTTTTGTAATACTCTCTTAACGTATTTTACACTTACACAACTTTTCTTGAAATGATGTGAAACAGAATCTCATTTTTGTTCCTTAGTTGCTTTTGTTTTTTTTTTTCTTTAAATAATACGAAATAAATACTCTTAATGATATACAATGTCTGTCTATGCATTAGTAGTGTATGGATTTAAAGTATTTATAGGCTTCGTTTTTTTTTTTTTTTGTTTTTTTTTGTTTTTGTTTTTTTTTTTTTTAGAAAATTTTGGTTTGTCTGCAAAAATATACATAGAAAATAATATATATCAAAATAAAAACTCACTGACGACTAGAAAATACGGGTGAATGCTGAAATTAAGTGATGAGTCGCGGTGCATGCAAACCGTGTACTGTTTCTATGGGTGGACAGTGTGTTGCTCCCGGCGGACCCCAATCATGAAGACCACGTGAGTTGGCTAAACGATGTGTTAGACGGTGGGCAATGCTAAAGCCGCCACTGCCTTCCAGTTGTGTCAAAACAATAATAACTTGTCTAAAATATTTTGAAGAAAATTTGACAAGCATTTAAAAAATGTTTACAAGAACAAAAAATCTCTTTGTCAATTATTTACCTTTGCAGTGGCGGTACAGAATCAACAGTTTTCAATTCACCTCGCGTCGAGACCACATTATAGCTTTCTTGGCAATCACATTTAACATGTATCCATTTGTTTTCATGACGATTCTCTACCATTACAACAAGACCCGCCCAGCCCTAAATTTAATAATATTTTTATTATTACTATTATCTATATGCGTGTAAAAATTAGGATAATATAATTACCTTAGTCAAATAATAAGCCGTCATTCCTTCCCTCCCCTCATGACGTTGCCCTTTTGTAAGTGTTAAACTAATAATAGCATCGGCCAGCAAATGTGGAGGTGGCGTTATCTGTTCGACAAGTAAACGTTTTGAGCTATGTATGGCTAATATGCACTGAGGATACTGCTGAGGATCTTCAATACCAGTGTGCCAATGATTAAACGCCAAACACACCAACAGGTAAATATCACGTTCTAACATCTTGTGACAGCCTACAAATCCTCGTACCTAAAATTCGACCAAGCATTTTTACAATCATACCCTTTATAATTGTTTTGTTATTCTTATATTTTTCGAATTTTTTTTCTATATTTTTTTTTTGTCATGTAATTCTTATTTGCCTTTTTGTAATGCCTCAATAATGAACACTTATTACTTTTAAGTTTACTTCCTAACCTATTTTCTCTTCTTCACCAATTAGTATAAATTTAGAGGTTGAAAGACAAGTGCACGAACCCATTTTATTTTTTCGAATTTTTTCAATAAAAAAATTGATCATTTTCGTTGTTTAAATGGCACTGCCAGATTTGTGCCCCCAATATGTTAAAGGCCCCAAAAACAAAGCCAGACTGAATTAAGCCAAAATAGGCACTTATTTGTGCTTCCACGTTGCCAGATGTCTGGCCCATCACGAAGCCACTATTCGGAATCTCGGATGTGCGATAGTAAATCTAAGCTTCGCCGACATTTAGAAGATTGTTATATTCGTTCACAGCCCTTATGGTCTAATTTATTTAACGCAAAACGATATATTGAACTGAATTTTTTCATCCCTGATCATTTTTGAATCGTTTTTTCACTACGATAGGGGCAGGCCATGCAAACTTTGTCAGTCCTTGCATATAAATAAAAAATGTAGGTGTATGCAGCTGTTCCGGAATATCGATGAATCTTTTCCGCTGCATATGTACTTGTCATTCAGTCATTTTTTATGTATATCCGATCAGTGTAGGATTTTGAATTGATTTCGATATAATTTTGAAATATTCCTTCACTTGTCATTTTTTCATGCATAGCGCACCGTCACAAAATTTGTTACTTATATAATAAAATTTTAGTAAATAGGTTATCGTGAAAGTAAATGTGTAAAGTCAGTCTATCTAGATCTAGACAAAGGCATTGATCTAAAATTGAGTACATGAAAACCATGAAATGCGGCAATAGGTTAATTCACAAATAGATTTTCAATTAGTAAGTAATTATCGCCGATTGTTGAAATTAATATTGACACACGAATAATTTGCATTTTAAGGGTCAGCGTAAGAACGTATTCGTATAATTAACTGACTTTTCAGATTTCGCTCACTATTTCAACTATAGTTTTTCTACTTTTTATTGTTTCTACTAGTTTATCTATCTAATTGATTTCATTTATTTATTTATTTATTTATATTTTTTTATTGTGTTTTATTTTAACTCCATACCTGTCGTTTACTGTGCTCAACTAAGCGACCAATCTCAGGCGTAGCCGGCGAGCGTGTACGAAAGATAACCACACACAAGTCCAACTGAGACCGTTGTGATTTTTCAGAATTTCTTTGTCCCTCTTGAAACAAGGTGAATTCAGCTTCTGTGGGCTCGAGAACGGTAAGTAAAACGCAAGACATCGAACATAAAGGTTGTAGTGTGCCCTAGAAAATGCATTTTTGAGAGAGTCTGAGAGAATAGAAACATTTTTGCGCAATACCTGTAAACGTACTTCATTCCATCCAGACCGTACTTTACAAATGTCAATGCAATCAAAATAATTTAAAACGTCCTCAAATGATATCCAAAATACCCCTTCCGAGGCTCCATGTGGCATTAAAATTTCCCGTAATTCTTCTGTCCACAAATCCGAATCATCGGACCAATCGCCACGCCATGAGAAATGACCCCACGGATTGCGGAGTTTGAGCAAACGATGGCCATGTATATCCTTGACGTCTAATACGGAGTAAGCATGCCGTGGCCGTAATCCTTTGCGGTGATATTCTTCTTCGTCGACTTTCATATTACCACCACCGCAACTAGCGCCCATTAGAAAGCGTACACCTCGTGAACTCAACAATTGAGCCCAAATGAGATCTTTATCTAGCTCATCTTCGCTAGGCATTGGTAACGAACTGGCTTGCAGAGGTATACTTTCGCACGGAGCTCCCGTTAGTGTAGCTAAGCCCTCGATAGCGCGTCCCGAAACTAGTGCCTCATAGCAGCCATGAATTTTTGCTACAGCCTTTTCAATCAAAGGTACCCATAATTGTTTACGCTTCGCTTGCGAGTAAACTAAATGTCCACGTTTATCGCACGGCAGCAAATCATCTACAAGCACTGTTGTCCATTTGCCATCTTTACATAAACGCACTTGATAGGCACCCTGCGGACAAATCTCTTTAGTGACCAACACCTCTCTGACCAAGTCTTCTCGTTCAGCGAGCACGGCTAAAGCACTAAGCAGCCAGCAATTGCCGAGAACACCCTGGCAAATATCGGAAGGCAGTGGCGTACGAAACACTGCCCATGGCGGAAACGCTCCACCATCGCAATTAATTTCATGAGGGCGACGCCATTGAACAACTGGATTACCTTCGGCCATACTTTGTTGAGGATTATAGTAAAGGCTTTTTGGGGCTGGCGGAAATGAATCGTCCACAAATAGTTCATTATTGTCGCGGCAGTATTGTATGATATTTTCCCACTTGTGTAAAGCTTCAGTTTCCTCAATCTGCCTAAGGTTCTCCATTAATTTGCTTTCTTGACGTATGTCGGTTGTCAGGCGATTGGATTTTTGTAAGAGGACTAAATCTGTTAAAGCATTGGCCAAGCCTCGCGGACTAGAACAAATTTCACAAACTACCGAAGCAGAACAATTTTCATATGTACAAGCAGGACATTGCCAAGTTTTAGTTGTCAACGATGTGGTAGTTGTTGCAGTTATATTGCTGCTGGCATTATGACGCTGTTGCTGTTGTTGTTGTTGTTGTTGTTGCTGTTGATTAATACTCGAACTTAAAGCGTTAGAGGACGACGGTGAGTTTGTACCGGTTGTTGTTGAGCAAGGATTGACACGTGGCATTATTCCAGTTACGGTATTGCCAGTACTATGACGTTTGGGTATGGCACCCGATGAAGAACGATTCTGACGTGGTGAAGGACTGCGTGATGTACGTATAGGCGGAAGTTGTAAATTATTGCTGCCGACATTATGGCTGTTGCTGGCAGCAGTACTTGGAGGTTTCGTATTATGAGAACCCATAGGAGAAATCGCCTCAGCTATAAATATATTACCACCTGAACCGCTATGTAAAGCTGTATTAAGAAGCGTCGTATTTAAATGACGCAATTGCTCTATAGAGAAAGACACATGATAGTGAATTCAATTAATTGAATTAAGAAATTTATAAGCAAACCCTCAGGAATCGCAGCTACCATAATGCGGTCTCGGTCACTTTCGATTGGCAGTGAACGCACAGCTTTACAGGCACTACAAACACCCGTTGCCAAAGAATTCTTTAGAGTGCATTGACCACATGTCCAGAATTCACCTTTACGCAACGTCATATCTTCAATAGACGATATACTTTTCAATTTTGATCCACCACAAACTACACAAGCGTTATCCGATACCGAATTAACAAGAGTGCATTTTTTACAAGTCCATTGATCTCCACCAGCACGGACCGGATTATCTATCAAACGAAAATAATCTAATAAGAAAATGAAAAGGGACAATAAAAGTTCAAAAATCAAACGTACCAGTGGTGGGTGTCGTTGCGCTGTTTGTGTTAGTTATAGTTGTCGCTGTTGATGTTGTTGTTAATGATGATGCCATTATATTATCAGCCTTCGTCAACGTAATTAAACTGGGTTGTGTTACCGTTGGTTGTAAACGTATCGTTTCACAAATTTCGCAACGTTCGGTCCACATACGATTGTATGCATAGGAACAGTTTGTGCAGGTCCACATGCGACGTGAATTCGGTATGGAGTTATTGTCAGTACGCGAGACGACAATACCACCGACCCCACCAATAGCAACAACAGTTCCGGGTATTCCAGGTACACGGCCGCCGATCGGAACTGACACATTCAATCTACAACGAAAGCTATATTTAAGTCCAATATGATGCGGATAAGTAATGAAAAATACATTAAATTAAATGTTATAAATACAAGCAAGGACTATGTTGTATGAAATGACAACAAAATTACTTGGACTTATAAGGAAAAAGCTAATCTTCATCTCATATAAGCAAAAACTTTTATATAATGAACTTAGTTAGAAAATGGCAAATGTACCTTAGCGAATGTAAGTGTGAATGTAAGTTCCCCCTCCCTAAAGTTGTAAATGACGAATGATTTTTTGTTTGAAAACGAGTTTAACTAACCGGAACATTCGTTTTAGTTAATCATAGATATTCGCCCTCTCTCGATAGTGCGAGTGATTTAAACTTGAGATTAAGCTAACGAAAGCTCGATCATCGCACAAACGATCATAACCAAACTTTAAGTTACAATGCTTCAAATCTTTTCAACAGACGGATCATAATAAGCTTAAATAATTTGAATTTTTGATTCTTTCTTTATGACACTGATCTCTTATTGAAACGGTCTAACAAACAGCAATATTTTGAACCTCTGTCTAGTTATTAACTCATGAACATAGTTAAGTGACATATTTTATTGCGTATACCTTTCGCCGAAGGTTTACGTTAATTAAATATTTCGAATGCATTCAGATAGATATCAGACTCCATAAAACGTGATCAAGATAAATAGCGGAATCGATTCAGCTACGCTAACATCCAGATACCAAATTCAGCTATTTGTCTATACGTTCGTCCTATAAATTCACGATTATAAGAACCAAATTTGATCCTCGTCCTTGAAGCAATAATATTGAGGCCGGGAAGGGGGAGGGGGAGGGGGAGGATTTCTTTTAAAGCAGAAATCCCCTTTTCAAAGGAATTTAATATTGTTTTCTCTTGCGTCTAATACAAAATTTATAATAATTTTGGTGGCTAACACTGATTATTAGAAATAGTGCTTAATATTTATTTCGAATTTAAATAGCGATATAGGTTGAGAGAATCTCTCAGGTTTTTTTTATCGTTTATTCCCCTTTCTATAGTGCTTTGTTCTTATTCCTTTGACGTTTTGCAGCGATCCAAAATCATAAAATCGAACAAATAATATCAATTAAGGATGATTTCATTCAGTGTGAAAACGTTTTCCTAAGGGAGATAGAAGTATGCGTCCGACGGTCCGATAAAATATACAAATCGGTCTATCAAATATTATTGCAACATTTACACTCGCAATGGCAAAACTTGGCAATAGTTGAAAATTGGAAAAAGGGATCGATCGCTAAAAAATACAACTGTATCCTACGTCATTCCACACGCCTTCATCTAAGACATGTTAAATATGCGTTAAATAACGGTCCTGGGGCTAATCGTCAAAATCAAGATGATTTTGATCAACAACATTGATTTGTGCATAACAGTATGTGATGACGTGAAACGGTTTTGAATCGTGCTACAATTATAAAATCTTCACGCATTACGACGAACTGTACGTGTACGCATACAACTTCGAATGCATGGTTAGAAAGAGGAGTAATAAATAAATCTTTCAGTTTTTAGAACATGAAAAGCAGTTATCGCAGATGAATGTCCTCTCGACTTTTCCTATATCTTCACCCTGATGTATGAGTTCAATACGAAAGTGATGGAAACATTAAGCAGCGGTCTTATCAATGAGCGAAACCGAACGTTAATTAGTAGTAGCTTAAGGAATTTCGTTTTAGAATAAATTGCATGCATAGTGTGAGGGGAAAAAAGGAAGATAGAAGGAGTAAGTTTTGCATTTCACATACATTTTCGATTCGCTCGTTTTGCGAGGTCCTTTCCATACTTTCGCGTATATCGAATGTTCGGCATTGTTATCAGTTTTAGTATCGGCTGTAATTGTTGCTGTGGTGATCATCGTTTCATGCGAGCCAGTAGTGGTGCTGTCAACACGTGGTATGAATGATGCAGTTTCATCTAATATTGTCGTTTCGGTTTGCAACATATTGCCCATGATATCTGATGCGATATTGGAATTTGTCGTATGATTATTACCCGTCCGTAGTTTAGAAGAGGTGCTATTGGTAAACTGATTATTGATATTATTACTGCTGTTGCCACTACTGCTATTGTTATTACTGTTATTACTGTTATTGCCGTTATTATTTAATAAATTAATTGGATGTATGGCTGTTGTCGCATTTGCAATTGCATTAAATTCATTTAATTGCTTTTTTGATTTATTATTTTTATTGACTACAGCGTAAATGGGCTGATTGGATGCTTCAACACCAATAATACTGGCATCGTCACCTCCAACTAAGGGCAAAACAGCGGATATGCGTCCACCGGCACGTTGAGCAATACAATCATTCTCGTATATATGTTGAGGCTTGTACATGCCTTTACTAAATGTGGCATAATTATCATTGGAACTACGTCGCTGCAGAGTCTTATGATCGACACTGTCAGTTCTATCACAATATTGCGGCAGTGATTCCGCTTTTATCACCGGATGACGTTGACGTCGCCTTTCATCAGCCGTAGCAGCAGTAGCAGCCGTAGCAGAGGACCCGATAGCACTTTTAATTGTGGTATTATGTTGACTACCATCTACTTGCGTTGCCCAATCATTAACAGCAATGAACACACTATTGTGTGGGATGGTGAAATTTTGTGTATCATTTAACGTCTTATTGGAGCGTGACAATGTGGTTATTGTAAAATTGCACTTTGGTTCACGTTGCAAATTATGCTTACGGCAAATTGTATCTTTGCCACCCACTAATTGATTTAGACGTCTCGATGATTCCTGTTGAAATTGTGGTTGCTCCTTGAATGTCGCGGTTGCTGCTCTACCTATAGGAGCTATATTAATAATAATTTAATTTATTTATTTAGTTATTATTATTATTATTATTATTATTATTATTAGTGCTACAACAATACTAATGGAAAAATGAACAAAAATCAAATCAAGAATTCATTTACTATATAAATAATTTGAAAAAAGGGAAGGAGAGAGAGAGAGAGAGAATGCGAGCGAAAGAGAAAATATAGTACAATGAAGTTAAGCAGTAACAATTTGTTTAAAAGTAACATTTAAGTTAAAAATATTGTTAATAATTTCACGGAAGCTGAAAGCAACGCTATCTCAAGCAATGCATGTAGGTAGACGAACTAACATTTTTACAATTATTCTACTATTTATATGAATTTCATTCATTCAATCAGTTTTAAAGAATGGATAAATTCTTCTACAAATCTCGCTATATATATATCGTTACAGTAACAGACCTACAATATGTTTATGTTTTTCTTTTAAATGAAACATGGATTCAACGTCTAATCATTAAAGAGAACGCTCTTTAGTAAATCACACTTTATGTATTTAATTACTAAACTCCTTACTATTGCCGCTATTAGAAGACGAGTGAAACTACCAAAATCTTCATTCGTATCCCTTCGCTAATACACAATTTTTGTCTAGAACTGCAAGGACTACATAGCATAATGACTGTGGTGTATATGTATCCTGCCATTCCCAGATATAGGTTATCTTTACGATCAATTCTGATCTTATTTTCCCGTTTATAGGATTTATTCTTATTCTTATTATTATTATTATTATTATTATTATTATTATTGTGTCTAAGGTTACAAGACACTTTTAATGAAAAGCCTAATTAAATATGAACAGACAGTCATCGCAACTCATATGATGTGAAGATTAAACAATAAAAAGCAAATCATTATCTTTCATTATTTGATTGCCCCTCTTCATCCCTCAGCTGTGTAAGTGATGGTCAAAGGAAGTGGCCATTTTTACCGGAAGTCCATCCCTTGAGATTGTTTCTGCCAATCAGCTGGCTATAGAGGCAATCATCTAACTGCAAATATATGCCTCAAGTTTCAGTTTTCTAGTATAATTCCAACGACTTGAGTACGTTCTACGAATCTATCGTTGTATAGAAATTTTTATGATATTACATAGCTTCGCTGCATTCTTCCATGCATTATATAATATGTAAAAGAGCAAAATGTTATTTTGGCTTTTTTTTTTTTTTTTTTTGTTCTTTGAATAAATTCATTCTACGCGCTAATTTGTACGAAATACGAAAATGGGCACGGAAGAAAAAAGAAGAAAAAAAAAAAAAAAAAAACAAAGGAAAGAAAAGAAAAAATTCAAAAGAAAACAAACAAAATTAATAACAACACACGCAAGTACAAATTTGTATAATTAATTGAAATTTTCCTTTTTTTTCTTCTTTTTTGTCTTGTTTTTGTTCTCACCAAATATTTCATCTGAACCTGACTGAGTTTCGCTACTGGAATATTTGTGCATAAAGGTATCCGGTAAATTGAAAATATCTTTACGACTATTAACGAAGCATATGTGACAACTACGGCATGAGAATGATTTCTCGGTTGTTAAGCTTTGCGTGCGACGAAAATAGTTGGCTTTCTTGTTATTAAGACGTTTCGTTTTCTTATCCGGATTTTGGCCGCCGTCAAAGCTCGATTGTTTGTGATGATATTGATGATGATGACTAAGTTTCCGATGGTTAAGAGTTTCTTTGTAAATAGGCGCCAAATAGCTAACAGTGTCACAGATAACGCAATGCCACGTAACTGAATTATTATCGGAATCACATTTATCACAAATCCAGCGACGATTCAACGATGGATTCGAGAAATGATGAAATAATTCAATTGAATTTTTCACGTACTTTCGTGTATTCTCACAATCGACACAATTCGCCGGCAAATTCTGTTGATTACGTTGCGGTCTTTTAAGGCAGCCACGTAACAAAGATTTATAAACACCGCGTTTGCTCAGTTCATTTCTGAAATTATGAATAAAACTTATATGAAAAAAAGAGTGCAAATAGCATTGAGAATATTAAATTTCATATATTTCATATATATACATACATATATATATATATATATTATATTTATTTATTAAACTAAACCAAATTGAGATGAAGAATTTAGTTATAAAATATAACAATTTACAAAGCCGTTGTTATTATACCATTAACACTGATCGTCTCCTTAAATACAATATATTTTAATGATTATTACGACTAAGATGTTTACAAACAACTTAATGAAATCATCAGAGGTTAAGCTCAATCAATCGAGCCGTATCATTAACCAGCTACGATACAAGATACAAGATCTCTTTCTATCAATCATTCAATATAAAAGATGATATAAAGCTAACAGATTAAAAAAAACCTTCCAATGAAAATCACATTGGCAATAGCCGAATGCGATTCATATAATAAATCAGTAATGATACGTTAAAATGAAAAACATGCAACTTAGGTTAAACGGATCATGCATTGATAGACACAAGTGTTAAGGAATGCCTAATCTACGAATATCCTTAATTGACTTAATATTATTCAGTCACCTGAACAATTATCTTTTGCAAATTTCTTACGTTAAATTTTAAATATGAAATGATTTTCAGACACAATCAATATTCATAAATAAAATATCTAAGCCATTCCTAATCTTTTTAATTATAATTTAAATAAAGTATTGACATCTATAAACGTTTGAAATTTTTTTAATATATCGCCAATAAACTGGAACTGTAAAAACGGCAATTAGCAATGCTTCTCCAAAGATCGGTACAATGATTGCACATGCATATATATTCCGCAAGAGTGAAATCTTAGAAAGATATGCTTTGAATCAAAACGCATTTCATTTACAGTTAAGCTTTCTCCTTTCGAAATGGTTGAATGAATGTCTTTGGCACTAAAGTTTTTCATTATCGAAACTTCAATTGTATGTCTACTATGATTATCTGTGACTATGTGAACGCGTGTGTGTGTGTGTGTGTGTGTGTGTCTGTGTGTATGTTTGCGTATGACTGCACCTTTTCATGCGAAACCTTACAATCTCAAAAGTAGATTTGAAACCGTTAGAAACTGTTCAATAAACAATAACAATATCTATCAAAAGCTACTCTGATCAAATTTTTCTAACAAAATTATATGACTATATACGATACTATCATACTATCATATGTTGTTGTGAACGAATCAATTAATTACAATACAGATAACGAAACAAAAAACTAACTCGATGTAAGTCATAAGAACCTATAAATAATATTTCTAGTTGAGGTTGAGTGCATCAACTGAGTAAATGATGAAACAAAAATCGAATCGAAACTATAAATAACATTTCTTGTTGAGGTTACGCTAGGCAAAACTTTAACTCGATAGGTTTCTATTATCAATGTGACTTAATTTACACTATTGACGACGGCAAAGGAATTCTGGATCTCTTGCGAATCAAACACAAACACATTATTGCAGAGATCTTTCTCTATTTTATGGAGCCTACCACCTTCAGGCAGGCTAATGAGCTTAACCGATTGCAAAGTGCAATAATTGACCAAGGCAGGCGACTAGTCGAATAACGCAAAATTTTGAATTAATTCGCAATTTATTTTCTTGTTCTCTTATATGCTTCATTTTTTTTTCTTTAACCTACAGCGGCGCCAATTTGGGAATGGAAAGGCACAATAACAGCAAATATAAAATAATATATTGTGACTTAATGTTGCATTTAATTAATTGACGAACGATATGGTAGCCGTAAAATATTAATTTAATTTACTTATTGTACACACCACCACAACAGACCTTAACTAATCTAAAAAAAAAAAAAAAAAAAAAATCGGATCAGTTTGTTTGTGCAAAAAAAAAATTTTTATTTTGAAAACTTTCATTTTCAAGCTTAACGGACTTTTATTAATTTAAGAAAAATGTTCCCTACTTCTCAAAACTTAAATTAGTCTATTGATGTCTACAAAAAAAAAAAAAAAAAAAAAAACAAAAAAAAAAAAAAAAGAGTGAAAGAAGAAAAAAATTTCTTTTACATAATCAAAATATAATTGAAGTTGAAAGATTTTTTTTCTTTTAAAATAAATTCGGAGAAGACAACGCTTAAACAATATTCATTGTTTAATATAGAGCTTTTATGTTCTAAATTATCTGTTAGAGATTGAACTTTTTTTACACATGGACATAAAATATGAAAAAACATATTGTCAACCAATAACAGAACCCTACATAACACAAAAAAATCAGTAGAAATTCAAGGACATTTGATACCACAACATATTACTAATGCAAGTACTAGTGTAACGAACTTGATTTAAAAAAAAAAAAAAAAAAAACAAAAAACAAAAAACGTAGGTGCACACAAAACCTCTAAACATTTTTTTTTTTCCTTTTTTACATGTTATCTCGTTAATAAAAATCTGGGTTAAAGGATGAGTTATGCAAACTAGGGGAATTTATTTTTAAAAACAATTTGTTTTAACATTCTTAAAGAAATTATTTGAAAATCAAATTTGCCGTATTTTTCCAAAGAACCATTAATTTAATTGAATTTGTTTATTCACTTATTGTCTTTTGGTTTTAGAATCTTTTTTAAACATATTGTAGAAAAAATTTAACACAGTCTTGCATCGCCTGCTGCACTATTGACGTTTAACTTGGCATTGTTTGTATATAAGTGTTGTGCGTTCATGTTTTCTGACAATTCCTTTCGTGTTGAAAATCGATATTATTGTAAACAAAAGATGCCTCGTTGGTTTTTCATCGATTTTCCACAAAACACACACAACTGATAGAATCAAATAAATGCACAAATATTCTCTCCAACATGTAACATTAAACGCATATATATATATATATATATATATATATATATATATATATATATATACAAACATATATTTAAACACATTTTTATACCTGTATACATTAACATTTATTCTTATCAAATCACTTGTTAACATTTTTTGCATATATTTTGTCTTTTCTTTTTTTTCTTACCCGAAAGAAAAAACAAAAAAAAAAAAAATTAGTAGTTACCTACCTGTTAACCAACGTTTCTTCGCGTTCACTTTCTTTGATGGCTTGATTAGTAATCGTCAGCAGCAGCTCTTTTTCCTTATTATCATCTTCAGTTGTCGATACCGCGGTCGGTTTACTTTCAGCCGGTATTTTATGATTGCTAACAGACCCTTGATCATTGCTAGTCAATTTTCTGGTTCCACTTAAAGTGCTTACACTGCACACTTTGCGTACTGTGCCGCAGTTGAGACATTTTAATGATTCGGTAGGATTAATAATATTACAATTCGTGCATGACCACTGTAGCACTGAAGCTATAGTTCCCATGATATAGCTACCTGCTGTGTCTGCTTTCTTAATCTGTCCGTTGCAAGTACACTCTTCCTTAGTTGCCTCAAAATTCAATTAGCGCCACAATGTCTGCCTTAAAAACATAATGTTATCCATTCATTCACAACTTAATTCCACGCCTTCAAACATCTTTTTATTTTCATATCATTTCTTTCCGTTCTCTGTGTTTGTGTGCTCCTCCTTTTTTCGATGTCTGCTACTTACAGCTACCGTTAATTAAAATAATTTTTTCCTCATATTTCTTTGCTTCGAATATTTATATCAAATATTTTGATATTATGCTTTTTCTCAACTATATTAAATTTCCTTGATTTTTACTCTTCTTGAAATTAAGTAGATTTTTATACAAAAAAAATTCTTAAAAAAATGAAACACCACCGTTTTTTTGACAGGTCATAAGAACACAAAGCAAAGCAAATTTTACTCTCAAAAAGACAAACTCTTACTCTCAAACAGGGCATCCATAAGAACACACAGCAAAGCAAATTTTATTCTCAAAAAGACAATATTTTAAATAACAAAACAAAATATACACATAAATACATACAATCTTGATTTGATGCTGCTTTCAACGTGCTGCCACACTTATAAAGAAAATTTTATCCCGGGATATGATTACCTCAATCAGGAATTTTATATAAACGGTTTTTATTAAAAAAAGAGGGAATGTAAAATGAAACCTGCATTCAAGTATTTCATTTTTAGGGAGGGGCTTAAATTAATCACAATGAAAAATCTGCTTTAACAAAGTATATTCCATGTTATTAATATATATATATAATTACATTTGATTAGCTATTATTTTCGTCGACAGTGTCTGTTTATATGCATATCTGACTAGCATTTTATCCACAAATACTAGACGCATTCGTTTGCATTGTCGTAACAAATAAAAATAGCATGAGAAAACTTTCAATATCGTACGATGTCGGGTAATGGATTAACCGATTAGCATAGTCCTTATAATACAATGATTTTAACTAGTTTTTCAAGCGTGGAAATTAAAATCATATTTATTACCTTTAATGTACTCCATTTTAAAGTCTAGGCCTTAGAAAGCAATTAAGCTTCTCTTATTATGTAATCTCCCATAAGTGTATCTGTGTCTAACTGATTTTGTAGTGCAGTATTTAATTGCATGACAAATATAAGTAGCATGAGAGAATATTTTTTGTTAACATTATTTTAAAGTTTCAAAAGGGATAGTTGTAGTTTTTTCATTTCGTGCTCTCGTTGTGGATGTTCTACGTTTTCACTGCTTAATATAAATGAAATGTTAAAGTTTTGATGTCATATATGACAGACATCTTAGTAATTGGAATGTTTATACAATCATTTTTCTTCAAAATGTGATGAAAATTTGCTCTGTCCGTGATAGATAATTTCTTTCTCTGAATAGAAGTAATTTGTACATTGATGAAATATTAAATATGCAATTTTTCTCATATTGACAAACTGATAAAAATTTTGAAGAAAACTAACTAATGTCCCATTTTTTATTCATAAAAAATTTTGTCAAAAAAGAAAAGCAAAATTATATAAATAAATAAGTATTATTAATGAAATTTCGCTTATTTTGGGTATTGTCAACAACAGTTAGATAGTTTGACGGTAATGACTGCATTATTTTAGGAATTTTTATTTTCGTTGCAGGAAACGGATTTATCTTTAGCTTAATTCTTGCATTGTACGGAAAGCAATAAAATTAAAACACTTCTCTTATAAAAGATAAACATGTGATTAGGTTATCCCTATTTTTTCGTGGTGAGTATAAAAAATCCCTACATTTTATAGGGAATTACAAGAGCCTAATACAGTTTGACAGATTGTGTCAAATGAGTAAAGAAAAACAAAATTTTAATATTAATCGCTGATTTCCTGTAAATTGCAATAACGGTTTTTAAATATTTTAAGGGAAAACATGCCGAAAATTTTTCATTGCGACTTTGAGGTATTTGGGACAGTTCAAGGTGGTTTATTGGTTCATTTTTCAAAAATTCTTTAATATAATTTGGATTTTTTATCTCTTTTATAGGAGTATCGTTTCGTTTGGTAAATAATATAATATAAACGCATCCTCCCCATCCCCACCTCACCACTCAGCTAACCCAACAGATATATGCTAATATTATCTATTTATAATCTTTGTATATAGTACACACAAAAGCAAGCAAAACAATTGGGCATACGAGGATGGTGCTTGAATACGCCGAAAGATACAGTTATAGGACAAATTGAAGGTCCAGAAGAATCACTTGCAGAAATGTAATCTTATTGGATCCTTGTCATAATTACATACATATACACATATATATAAGAATGTATTTTACTTTGTTTAATCAATGCAGGAAGAAATGGCTCGCGAATACTGGCAGTCCAACCTGTCGCATAGACAAAGCTATTTTCGGCTTGGTTGAGGAATTGGACAGCTATACTTATGAAAATTTCACTATAAGGGAATAAGAGACTTAATAATGAATAGACAAAGTATAGGATGATTAAATTCAGGCAAGAATAGCAATAAGTTATTATCTGTATATGCGAATAGATGTTACTAATGATGTGCGAATTCTACATAGATGATCTTATATCATCAATAGCTGAAACGTAGTTTCACTAAAATATTATACACAAAGACTGCACACATTCTATTCTAAATCTTCTGTATTGTTGTTGTTGTTATATTAATAAAAATTCTTATATGTAACCAATTGGAAATCTAATATGAATTTGCTTTTCCCTAAGCAACGCATTCGAGCAATTTAAAAAAAAAAGCAAAAAAAGGAGTGGAAAATGTGGCATATTCGAAACAAATTTTGCGAAAATTTGTTATTTTTGCTTTGCAATTTTTACAGATGATACGGAGACCCGATTTGGATTGAAAACATGAATGTTGCAAGTAAACCGATAGTTTTTCTTTAAGTAGAAGAAGCTTATCACCTAACTTAATGACTGCTAGCTGGAAAGCGTCGAGTTCCAATTATGTTTCTTGTGTAACTAGTCTTACTGGCAGATGTGATCAAAGCACTTTTGATCCCAGCTTAAATCTCTCTCTCTCTATTTCCTACTTAAGTGATTTAAAAATTCCACTAGATTACTACGAATATACGTATATATACTTATATATATATATATATACACATGTCTCAGTCTATTACTAGTATTAATACATTACGCTAGTATACGCGCATAATATTTTCATTATCGCCTTCAATGTGAATATCGTGTGTTAAAATATATCCGGGACAAATCCCGATCCACTATTCGAAACATTTTTCGTAGACGGTCTTTTTAGAAAAAATGTAGTAAAAACTTGTTTTGTATGCATGTATACAGCGATTGAGTTTAATTACATTATTAGAGTTTGGTTTGGACTCTGCGCGACTGCTCGACTCTGGATTTACGTCGTGCCGAAAGTACGATGTCTTTTGAGTCTGGTCACAATATTAATACATCAATTTTGTCGATATTTTTTATCATCTGTCACTATTGAGAATTGATTAGACGACGATCACCGATCACTTGGCTGCAGGTGAGGCTATTTCACATAGGTGATAGTTAGCTTTCGCTGAATACAGTAACGAAAGCTACATTATTTATACATGTTTACACGTCAGGCTTTTTCGGTGTTTTATATTCGCAATCACGTACTCGCTCTCTCTCTCTCTCTCTCTCTCTCTCTCTCTCTCTCTCTCTCTCTTGCTTTATTTTTATTATTATTATTATTTTAATTTTAGACTAATGAAATGAATTCTTAGACTAAAAAAAGACATTGAGCACTAGCAACACAGGCTATCGGCTCTGCTTTATTTTTATTTAACACATTTGCTTAATTTATTAAAGCGAATCGATATGATAAGTTTCGGGAATAATACGGACTGAGGACTGAACATGTTGTCACAGAGAAATCATTCTTTTTTTTTTTAAAAAAAGTTATAAACATGGATTTTGGAATATCTTTTTTTTACTTTTTTTTTGTCTCATTCATTCCATATTCATGTAACACGGCGATTGTCAGAAAGAAGAGAGGAAAGAGAAAGAAATGGAAAGGTAGTAGCCGCACCGTATTGGGTGTGTGTGTCCAATCGGAGTAAGCGTTACACCTTTAGCGACTGAGCACTCACAAAAACAACTCCGATTTGAATGCTGGCTTAGTAGTCGCGGTTCTTACCTACTCAACTACTCGACAAACAGTGAAGGGTTCGACAGGGATTTCAAGCATTCAATGAAAAGAAGAACAAGTTTCTGGTAAAGTTTTACAGCAAGCACTTGATGTGAATGTGCGTCAAGCTAACGATTGAACTTAAATGTGGCACAAGCATGAGTAACTCTGTCATTTCTGCCAATAATGTGCGATTTTTCCGGTAAAGTTTTATTAGGTCGATGCATAAATAGTTTCCTTTGTTTTTTAAGACACCAACTTTTTCAATTCCTCCAAGCGGCACCAAGCACATGCTTGTAATGTATTCAACTTTCATACTATACCTATTATTGATTGGCCTGGATTTTGCTTTAATATTGCCTTTAATGCCGAAAGTAATCCTTTCCTAAATTTATCTCTCCGAAACGATGTTTGATAAACCACTGTCCAACTCTTTGATCATATAGTAGAGTTTTTCAACTGTCGTCTTAGTAATATTGCCTCGTTTGAATTCCAAAAGCACTTCATGACGGATACGCACTTTTCCATCATGAACGAAAGTTTAGTAGAACCTGCACCATACAAAACAAGTATCAAAACACTAATTGAATCCTTAACTTCTTCGCAATAGATGAGAACGTAGATTCTACATACTCGTATCCGCAATTATTTTTTGCTCGACCTAATAATATGCGCCATAAGAAATAAATTCAATTTTTCAACGATTAATAGAAGTTTAATGGAATAAATGACCCTTATGATGATTGTTGCGTGACGTGCTATACATAAAAGTATATAATCCTTGACCCCCTTGACCGCCTTGAAAGCAAATATAAGCAATGCTTTGTGATAAAATGTTACATTTATCCTCGATTTTATTTTCGAATCCCATAAGCTTTTACTTCTGCATGCATTCATTGCATGAAATTGTATGCCTCAGGTCAAGCATGTTCCAAATTATTACACGATTCCCAATTATTGGGAGGAAATTTCAGTCGATAGAGTTTTTAAAGTATTTTCTTCCGTTGCGATCCATCATCTGACTAAATATTTTACGTTCAGGCCGTCTCTTAACGTGAAGCCCTTTCAACGATTTATTAAAGAAATCCGAATAATTTCGTGAAACGAAATAAGTAAGCAAAGTTTATGGAATAGATACGGGGCATTTTTCGAAACTCAATAACACCAATTCAACCAGTTGAAAGGTGAAGCACATGCTCTACACACATGCTCTGTATGTACAAGGGGATGACGAGAAAGTGAATTATTAGGTGTTTGCAAAAATTTTGATCAGCGACTTTTACAGATAAAAATGATCAAGAAATGGGAAATAGCAGTGTGGACAACGGTTGTATTCGATGGTTTCGACCTTCCACTAGATAAAATAACAAGTTTCTATTTAACATTAATGATTTTATCAGCGTATGCCGACCGTAATCACGAAACGCTCAAAATTTTTCATTTTCCAAATTGATTACTTTTGTTGTTTATTTGAAGAAATCTGCTGCCGAAGCCCACCAAACATGTTCAGAGGCTCCATCATATCGCAATTGTTGGTTTTGGATTCAGCGATTTAAAAGTGACGACACGAATAGGTTAAAAGTACTATTTTTTGACCACTTCTTGGAAGAGTTGCCCAGAATACACTATCGCAGTTCGGATGGAAAGTTCTACCGCGCCCTGTCTACTCACCGGAAATATGGCTTCCTGATTACTACTTACTCGGATCGGTGCAGCATGACTTGGCTGGAACACGGATTCGCAAAGTTGGAAAACTGCGAAAATGGGTATGTGCGTGGATGGCTGCCAAACCAACAGAAGCTCTTTCGACATATTATCGCCATGTTGCCAAAAAGTATTGTAGAATATTGTAGAAAATTATAAAAACTATTTTGATTAATATATATTGTAGCAATTTTCCTCTATATATGCATTTTTTAAGTGAAAAAGTGATCAAAATTTTTGCAAACACCTAATACTATATAGGATGGAAAGAATAATGAAGGGAAGGGAAAATAAATTTGAAAGCGAAGATTACGAAGAAAATAGAACCATAGAGCCGATAGCCTGTGTTGCTAATGCTCAATGTCTTTTTTTTTTAGTCTAAGAATTTATTTCATTAGTCTAAAATTATAAGAATAATAATAAGAATAGAACCAATCGTTAAGAAACGTAGTTATCAATAGTCAGGTGGCATCTCGATAATTTGCTTGATATTCTTTTTAGACGATAAATTTGTTTTCGACTTTCCCTAACTATTTTATTTATTTGATTTATTTTGCTTTGGAAAATTCATCATCATCATTCAAAAGTTTTATCCGCTTTGTCAAAATGTTAATAAATGTTAACAAACGTATGAATGCATATTACGGTGTACGAGCGTGCAAGCAATTCTTTGCCTTTTAACTAATGAAACTCAACTGCCAGCATTTATATAACTTTGTATGAATCCTTTTTGTTCTTATTAAAAGATTGTAATAAGATTGATAGCGTCGCCCATAGCAATTCCGTAATGCTGTCAAATTATCCATCCGGCGATAATACAATGCTTTATCGAAATGCATATCGAAATACTCAGCCATTTATCGCCGCGACATTAATCGGTAAATTGTCAATACTAGTGATTAATGTCATAAAATTGAGACTATATTTTATACGATTTCAGTGAAAAAATTTAATAATTTTGAAAAAAACGCTTAGCGATAGTACACGATTATATACTAAAACTTAAAAATAAGTTCAATTAACGCAAGCTTAGAGTAGTGTCGCATTTGCCAGATATTATCCGTCGTCAATAAAGTAAATGAAAAGGGTTAAGGAAGAAGAATGAAATATTCTGTCACTAGGCAGCAGTAGCAGCAAATCGGTTAAAAAAGTATGATATCTGGAACTCTGGATTCGCTCCTTACAGCCCCTGCATTGCCATGTTAAGCTTTGATTTTGTTTTTTTCATTTTTATAGATATAAGAGTAACCCTAAATTGAGCGAATAAAAAAAGAAAGAAAGAAATATATACACTACCGTTCGATAGAAGAGTGTGAAATGGATCAATTCTCACATGATCTTACTGTAGCTTTAGAGGAAACCTCTTTGCTGGATCGAGCTCGCGTTAGCCGTTGGGGTCAGCAACGTCGTCGTACCCGTTCCACGGGAAATTTACGTAAGTCTAACCTCCTCTGGGCAATATTTGAGATATAAGAAACCGTTTTCTTTACATTTTATACAGCTTGCGCTCCCCAACCCACTGAAGATTCGAGCAGTCCAACGGATATAGCTCATAGTGCGGGTTTACGTCCCACAACAAATAATAATGATGGTTTGGATACACAAAATATTCATTTGCCTAGCGATTCGGACGATAAAGACGATTCGGTGGCCCCACGTTTGCCTTGCAAAACTTTAAGCACCTCTCTGCGCTTAGGCACTTTGGAGTCAGATTCCTTAAATGAAAATTTTAGTCCAGCACGGTTAGCATTGTATAGTGAATAAATAATATATTCAGTGCCAAAATTTAATATATTTTATGATTTTTAGTTTCTTTAAACCGAGCGCGCGCAGGAAACGTAAATTGAAACGTATCACCATTGATTATGAAATGACAAATGTTGTTCCAGCGGAAAGTTTCGACAACGATTCACTTAACGCAAAGACCACGACAACGACAGTGGGATTAGAGACCGGTATTTCTCTAATAGCTCCTTCTTTACCGCCTCCCATGTCTAGTAGTTCGGGTACAGTACGTAAACGAGTTTTAAAACCTGATCCCAATAGTCGATCGCAGTTTTTTTTTTGTGGCAAACGTAAACGCTCGAATCGCGATCGTTATCAAGAACATGATCACTCATCAAGTATGCCACGTCACACAACTAATCTTGAAGAATATCGGATGCGACCACGTAGTTTTTCATCAACATCAAAACCGCACAGCGATCGTTTGTTGCCGCTCAACAAAGGATTATTATCGAAAATCGAACGTATATCACAACAACAAAAATCGCTATGCACTATAGGAACGGTACCCACATTATTAATTAAAGCTGGAACCACAACATCGGCGACGTCTTTAGTGCCCAAAAAAGATAATGAAACGCAGCTAACGTTAATGACTTTAGCTGAGGTCGCAACGCAGTCAACACCGAGCAAGTCAGAGGATGCTGAATTGTTGATGGAGGCAGCGCTTTTACAAACAGAACAACTGCAGCTGCAACAGCAACAAAAGCAATTAACGGACGGCAATTTTAGAGCACAACGTAAAAAACGCTTAAGTGATGATCAGCAACAACAAAGCGGTAGTCAATCTGTACGGCATCATCATCATCATCATCATCATCATCGTCGACGTTTACTGCAATTTGCAGTCGATCAACATTCCATGGATTGTGAGGAATTAAATGATTTCAGTTCAAGTTCTTTAAGCTCATCGGAATCAGATGAAGGGCATACGGCAAACGACACTGATCGCGAGGGTGATGACGAGTTAACCGATTGGCCAGGTAACGAAAGTGTTTGCGGTGGTGACAGTAAATACGATTGTAAGCGCAAATTGACTAAACGTAGTACTTTACCGCAAATAAAATCTGATCCCGAAAGCCTCAATGCCTTATTAATGACCGAAGACGACACGCTCATGTCACCCGGTATAGCCATAAGTAATGCCTGTGTTAGCGCTAATTGCATGAGTGCATTGGAATGGCCTCCTGTTGATAGCACGACCCCTGTAGATTTACCCTATCAACCTTCGGAACCCATAACGATTACAGCGAAAAGTGGCTTCTCCACCCTGTTTCGCCCAAGCGGAGATATAGCGCCAAATGACATGACCATTCCTTTAAAACAAATCGAAAGCGAAATGTCTGGAGAAACTTCAAATCCATTTTTGGCTTCACCACCTTGCCAACCAAATGAGGTGCGAGAAATACGCGCTGGATGTCGACGCATTAAAGGTGAACGACCTGGATTTAGCATTAAAACGAGCGTTAACGAACGTTTGGCTCGTTTCCTGCAAGATCCGCGACAATTGCAAATTCGATTACCAGACGTAGAAATTTACGAGCACGATAGCCTAATTAACTTGGCCACATTATATTCGCTGCAAATGTCTTTGGACAATGGTTGCGCGGTACTGAATAAAACTAGGTAGGCTGGGAATGTAAGAACATATTTTGAAAATTAATTTTTCTCTAATATTTAGCAATACCACACAATCAGTTAACATAGATCAACAGAGCTTGCAAGGTCGTTTATTATTGAGCGATTTTAAAAGGCGTTGCTATGACAGCAAAAGCGGGGAAATGTTACGTAAATAATATAAGAAGTCATATTAAGAAATTATTTTGTATGTAGAATGGTAATTTATACCTAAATGACATATATATTGTAACTTTTTAGTTTTAGTCCCTTCAAACAATCTCTTCAAAAGAGGATCTATCTATTCCTTGATTATTTTGTTTTTTATGTGTTCTTTTTTTTTTTATTTTTGTTCGTTTATTGGTTATTATTAGCTTTTAAGCTTTTAATTTGCATATGAGAAAGCAATGTATGTTATGTACGTATACTTTAATGTCTAAGCAATTTTGTTTTATATTTTATTTTCTCCTTTTCTAAACAAAATGCAATAATTTGCCTGATATTATGAGAAATAATACAATGCAATCTATAACTTAACACTAGAAATGCGGTTTCTACTGCAAACGTTTTGTTTCCTTTGCACATTTAGTTTCATATCTAAAAGTTTTCAATTGATTTTTTTTTTTTTTTTTTTTGGGTGGAGATAAGTATAAGTATATTCTAACCACAAGGACATTACTGTTATCGAGTGTAAACGTGAAGAATTTATCCCCACACGTTTTACACGCTCAGAAATTTACCTATTCATCTTTGGATTTAAATTTTGTGTGTGTGTGTGTGTGTGTGAGTGTGAGTGAGTGATCAATCACCTCAATATTTGCAAGTATTAATTTTAAGATTTTTTTTTTCTTACAGGTAGCCGGACAATAGATAGATTTTTTATGCACATACATATTACATATTAGTTTGGCGAAAAAGAAATCCATTATTTTTATATGAACTTCAGGACTTTATTTAACATGCCTCGGATTGTCCGATTTGGGTCAAATATGCACCGTTTTGTTGTACGATTTGTTACCATTTTAAAGGTAACTTCAAAATGCCTCTCTCATAGAAGTCCTAGTCTCTATTTGCAAAAAACTCTAGAAATCGATTTTCACAATCCTCCCTAGATTCCAATTTTTTATCATTAAAGAAATTTTGCAATGCAAGAAAAAGATGATAATCGCTTGGTGCCAATTCCGGACTGTATGGCGGATGCATTAAAACTTCCCAACCAAGCTCCCGAAGTTTCTGGCGAGTCACTGTAGATGTGTGTGGCCTAGCGTTGTCCTGGTGGAACACGACACCTCTCCTGTTGGCCAATTCTGGCCGTTTCTGGTCAATCGCTATCTTCAAACGGTCCAGTTGTGGACAGTAGAGATCAGAACTTTGCGTTTGGCCATATGGAAGCAACTCATAATAAATAATCCCCTTCCAGTCCCGCCAAATGCATAGCAAAACCTTCCTGGCCGTTTGAGGTGTTTCACCGCTCTTTGACCACGATCGTTTTCGCACAGGGTTATCGTATGTGATCCATTTCTCATCTCCAGTCACCATCCGTTTAAGAAATGGGTCTATCTCATTCCGTTTGGCCAAAGCTTCGCAGATGGAAATTCGATCCATCATGTTTTTTTCTGTTAATTGGTGTGGCACCCAAACATCGAGCTTCTTTTTGAATCCAGCTTTGTGTAAATGGTTTAAAACTGTTTTATGGTCGATTTTTAGCTCCTGGGCGATGTTACGACTGCTAACATGCCGGTCAACTTCGATCATTTCGCCGATTTTATCGACATTTTCGACGACCGGCCTACCTGTGCGAGGTGCATCTTTAACATCAAAAATTCCTGAACAGAATCTACGAAACCAAAATTGCACATAATTGGCTGTTACAGTATCGGAACCATAAACACCATTCACAATTTTAGCCGCCTGGCTTGCATTTTCGCCTTTGTCAAAGAAAAACTGTAAAATGTACCGAACTTTCTCTTTGTTCACTTCCATTTTTAACACGCAGTAACTCACAACTGAATGCACCAAACAAAAAACAGCAAACGAATTTTTTTTACTGCGAAATGTCACCTTTCCAACGAGCATAAATATGAAATTGTTTGATCGATACTTTACGAGAAATCTATCAGTGCAGCCATCTACCGAAAAAATAATGGATTTCTTTTTCCCCAAACTAATATATACATTTTTTATTAAAACTTAAACCGAAAAAATGCAGATAATTCCTCTACATTACGTATATGATAAGCATAAATATACGTTTCTTTAGGAAGATCATACTTTATTTATTGTTCCCCTTTTTTTAGATGTAGTTCTCGTCTTATAAGTTCTCATGTACTTGAGTACGATTTTAAATGCGTATGGTTGGCTCATACTCGCCATACACGCAACCACTGTGGCCATCTTGACGATAAACATATATATATAAACGAATTCTTTCCAAGTCTTAGCGAATCGTATATATCGATCGATGATTTGATCCGATAGGCGTTCATTATAATCATTAATGCATAATTTTTGTCTATTTTCAAAATACATATCACGCATCTCAGCTTCTACGACGTAGCTAATTATAACTGCTGAGTCTGCAAACACGGTCACTGCACTTAATTCACGTATGTGTTCCAACCAATTCTATTGCTTCTCATATCGGCTTCTTCAACAATGCTACAATAATGCTACAAGGCTACAATATGTTGAAAAAGATTTGGAAATATTTTCACTTGTTCTTTCATCTTTCAATACATGAAATATTGAACACTTCATCATCAATTTCACATTCAATATAAGATCATTCTGGTCGTAGGATATAACTTTGCCATAAAATCATTAATTAATATATGCATATGATATGATTATAAAATCGAAGACCATTTTACAGCGAATAAGTTTTAATTTTTGTCATAGTAATCATAATTTTTTTGCCTTACCTGCACAAATGCATATTTTCAAAAGCATGGCCAGGTCGGGTTGCAATCTCTTTCTCTCTTCTGGGCAATTGCTAGATCGATGGCATGAAATGCCGGAAAAAAATAAAAACGTAATTTCAGCACATTTTTGATGTTCACAATGAAATCGTCCTATACGCTACGGATATAGGCTATCTTATGTCTTTTCATATCAACTTAAGTTAAAATATTGAAAATTTTCTCAAATCGAAGACAGGCCTAATGTGAAACTGCACTCGCTCATTAAATTAAATACTTGCACATATGCATGTTTAGCTTGCTGTGCAGTATTTAACCACGCACAACCATGCCATGTATGGACGCAGTTTGAGTTTGAATAACGAAACTTTCATAATTAATCAAAACTCTTAAGCTCTTAAGCTTGAGCATAAGAGCTTAAATTGCTACTTGTTCGATTGCTAGTTTGTTTAATTCGCGCGAAAAATACTCTAACCGTGATCTTTATTATTACGTACATCCGATTATAACGGTACAGTTAATGCATTGATAGTCCGCTTGCATTGCGATTATCGGAACACATTTTTTCCAAGAAACAGTTTCTTCTTTCAATTTACCTACTTTGCTATCACATTTACGCAAATTTTCGCAGCTAATTGAACAAGACGGAACATTTTTCCTTTAAACAAATATTACATATATATATGATTTTAATCGAAAAAAGGTTCAATTACAAATTAAAATTCAATTAACTCCTTTCTTCTTCTTTTTCATCTGTTATTCAGCAAATAAATAATCGAAAATTCGCTGGGATGTGTAAAAAAGACCCGCTGTGAACATAAAGTTCGTTGCTTGGGCCTTAGCAAAGTAACGGTCAGATTTGATATACAATATTATTAGTTATTTATTTAGGTTAATTATTTTATCGATGTTGCCAAGAAAGAACTGAATCCTTTTTGTCGATTGTCCTCAAATCTGCAGGAATCGCAGCACGATCCGCATAGGAAGGAAATTAATTGAGAGATATAAAGTCGTAAATGAAAGGTACGGCCGGATGATTCTTAAAAGATCGAATTTTATTAGATGAAAAATTGGTGAGTAATCGAAATCTTCCTTGTTGAAGCATAACATTTGCCATCTGTTCCAAGACACCAAGAGCCAAACGAAATTTCGACGATAATTTCAGAAGTTCATTCTTTGAAATGTCAAATAAGAGTGAACAGGCGTATTCTAATTTTGGTCTGATTAAGCCAAGATACAGTTTATTCATGCAAGAAGAGTCAAAGCCCCAAGAAATGCCGCAAATGTATTTCAATACATTAATGAGTTGAAAGCATTATTTGGCAGTTTGGTCAATGTGAGCTGCTGAGGAGAGTTCTGAGTGTAGGACAAGGCCTAAAAAGTCGAAAGTTTTAACAAACGGAATAAAAGACCCATAGATGTGCAAAAGTAACCACGGGGTCTCTCCTTGTCTGAGTTGAGGTGATTTAAGAATTGCACAATCTGGATTGCGCTTACACAAATCTGGATTAGTTGTTGGAACTAAAAATGACAAGATCATCAGCATAACCCAGGATTGAGATATTTTCAGGAAGGCAACTGAAAATTTTGTTAATATATAAATTAAAGCAAAGAGGCCTGTATACAAATCACTGAGGAACACCTGTAAAAGAAAGATATCCTTTATACAACAACATCCTCATTGTTAATTAAAGAAAGAGATTGTATAATAAATTAAAGAATTTGATAGGGAGATTCAGATTTAGGTTTTAAGATGCTGATATTGACAGAATCAAATGCTGAGGTTATGTCCAGAGAGCAGGCAACGACAATGTGATTCTTAGCAAACGCAGGATTTATTGCAGACCACAAAGTGACAATGTTGCCTTGAGCAGATCTGTAACGTTTAGAACTAAATTAAAGATTGCTGACGATATGTTTGGACTCCGGATACCATTTTAGCCTTGAGTACAACACTTTCTCGAAAATTTTTCTAACGATGGAAACTATGGCAATACTTCTGTAGGAACTAAGATTAACTGTCGATTTATTTTTTTCCTTTAATTGCATCAGTTATGTTGTACAAGCAGTTACTTGTTTTTTTTTCTCTTTTGAAATGATTTCGTATTGAATTTTAAATTTCAATTATCGATGTGTTAATAAGGTGTCGGTTTTGCACACATTCACTTTCACTTTCACTTTTTTTTATCAAAGTTCAGCGTAACATTTAAAATAATCGTCTAGCAACAAATAAGGATACTTTCTGCTCATACGAGAAAAAAATTGTTTTGTCAAAACAAAATTTTGACTTACCGCGTAGTCTTCTTCTTCTTCTTCTGTTATCCAGCAAATTCGTCGATTAATTCAATGATTTTTTTTGTAATGTTGTTTTTATTATTCAAGAAAATGAAATTGAAATATTTCTCAACAAGAATCAATTAGATGTATATCCAACTTTCGCGAAAGAAACTGGAAAAGTTAGTTTAGTTTCGATAGTAACTTTCCGATCGTAATCGTTTGACGGTTGGCACTTTCTAGGAATAATCTGACTTTCAATCACTAACATTGCGTACATGAATTATTTATACAATATGCCTGAAACGTCCTGTCTTTAAATTATTTATTGCAAATGCGAATTTTGCTTACGCTTATGCTGATGTGTTAGCATCAACAAGTCGATATTCACCTAAAGTAAGTACTACCCTGCATGTGTGAAGAATCGTTTTATTACCTCTGGCAATGCTTTATTAACTTTACTAACAATCCTACTACTGAACTATGCAGAGTTGTATCAGATGCTTTTACAATTCCAAACTCTCTATAAGTTCGATTTTTTTGAATTAAATTTTTTTTTTAAATATTTCAGTAGCGTTTTACTATAAATCCAAAAGAACAAACGAACGTGTAAGCGTAAGCAGTTCTTAAACACGTGCATAAACAAAATCAAACGATAAACAACAAAAAGCATAAACAAAAATTCCAATGTAAACAAAAAAATAAACGAATTTAAACGATAAAATGTAATCCTCTAAGGAACATAATCGTTGAATTATCGCTACAGTGACAAGCAGCATTTGTAAAATCAAATGCAACAAAAAAAAAAAAAAGAATAAATACAAAGAATTTTAAGTTTACTCCGCAATAGAATGTAAAAAACGGGTTAAACTATTTTATAAATCATTCGTATATATAGTAAACGAAGAAAAGGCAAATGGAACGAAAGAGGCATCTAATGTAACAAAACATGAGAGAAGAAATGGTTAATGTATGAATATACATTTTATAATAATTTTATATAAGAGGGGAGCGAATCCATTTATTTCATATACTGTTTTATTGTTGTAATATTGCAGTTATATATACATCGTACATATCGCTATAGTGTCGACATTGACGACCTCGTTCGAGGCCAATTTCCACTGTTCTCGTTAGCGGTGAAAACTCATTTTAAACATATTCGAAATCGGAAAATAGAGCGACAATAATATAAAGAGAAAGAAAAAAAGATAGAAAGAAAGAGAGAGCGAGCGAGAGAGAGAGAGAAAAAGGAAGAAAGAGAGAGAGAGAGAGAGCAAGTAGAAGTGTGATACATTTATACGAAACAAGGAAATGAAAAATTCACGAGTTCTCTTATGATATTTAACCGTAAAAGAAAGACGATGACTTCAATGTGTACATAAATGAAACTATAAGCTTATTGAAATTAATTTATATTGCATTTGTTGCATGTAAAACATAGCAAAAATTCGAAATGTTACATAAAAAGAAAGAAGTGCTACAAAATATATGGTATGCGGTGAAAAAGTGATTTTATTTAAGTAAAAAAAAAAGAAAAAAGTATAAGCATTTACTGACAAAAAAAAAGAAGACCTAATTGAGACAATTCTTGTTAAGTGTAACATTAAGACTAAGAAAAGTAATTTAGAAAATCTTTTAAGCAAATTTCGTTTGAATAAGATTTTTTGCTTTTTTTTTGTTGAAAAAACATATTTTTGTGAGGTTTATTGATTTTTCGCATTTCACGATTACACTATCTGTGGCTCTCTTCTTTAGTTGTTGATAATTTTCTTCATTTGCATAACAACAACAACAACAACAAGAAAAAAAATTAACACTTCCTTGTTAGTTTGGTGTAAGGACATTAACGAGTAGAATGGACAACGTAACCAAAAAAAAGGTCAAAATATTGCAAATTTGTCGATTTTTTTGATCTTTGAAAAATTTGTAACAAAGCAAGGAATTAAAATTTATTTACCTCATTTCACTTTATTAAATCTTGAATTCTTGAATTGTATTAAAATATCAAAAAAAAAAATATATATATATATATATATATATGTACATATAGATATATATATGCACATATAGAACTTTTATGAATGTCTGAAAACTTATTATAAACTTGTTGTTGTATTCAAATTAATTTGAATGATTGCCAGATAAGTTCAGGGGCAATTTTTTTTGTTTCCTTAAAGGATCTAAACCTATTTTACACATTTTGAAGACATTCAAATATACATATGTTGTAAATAATAAGAAGTCAAAAATTATATATCAGTGTTTAAATCCTGGCGTTTTCAATAGCACATACGTATACGCTGTTCTTTTTATTTATTTATATTTTTCAAGTTTTGAATGAACAAAAGCATAAAATTTAATTCACATATTTGTGCGATGACATGACCGATGCTAGCTTGATGGTTGACATATTTTCTTTTTAGAGCCTAACAAAGCTAACAAGTTAAAATCATGCATCATGTTATACACATATACCCATATATATAAATTATGCATATCCTCGATTAACGGAAAGAGCCGAAGCGATCACTAGATGATGATGGGAATTGATATCTTAATAGCGACCTTTTAGAATTTGAATTCGTAGATCCGATTTTTTTTTTTTTTCAAGTTCTTTTATTACACTCCGCATTATCCGCGATAAGAACATATCGAGCATGTTTATACTTCTGCTTGAATGATGATTGTGTTCAATCTAGAGAGCGAAATTTTCGTGACACTCCGATAAAATTTGGTACACCGATCGAGGTATTATCATAAAGCCAAGGACAATTTCTACGATAATGTTTCATACAATGATTTGGAAAAAGACCGTTATGCGAGAAATAATTACTATTTTTCAAGATTTCATTATACACCGCGCAGGGTTGTAATATTTTGGCGTATTAAAGTGTTATCAAAACTTTGGATCGAATAGTTTATACGGTGAGAAGATTTAATTTTTAATATTTTGTGGTCGAGTATGTGCAATTAGAAATAAAATTGAAGTATATATCAAATCTAGACCATATAGATCTATTCTTGAACCACACTCTACATAAAGTATTTTATCATGAAAATAATATATTAAGTGATGTGCGGTATTTAATAACCGTCTCTGCCCGACAATAATGCTCTTTTATATTGCTTTACTACGTCACTGCGTATACATATATGTGAATGTACGTTACGATGAGAGAAGCAATAGTTTACACAAAAGACATACAATACATTCGTCCGTAAGGCAAATCCTGATGTATATTATGTAACGGTTATATGGCGGGATACTTACAATGACTTATCATTTCATTTTTACACTATTCTCACAAATATCAAATAAAGCATATTTTCTCTGGCTTTGAATTTTTATTATAATATTGTTATTTAGTACTTATTAGCGTGCTTCGACATCTAGTGCATAGTTGGGAAAAAAAAAAAGGAAATGAATCTGGGTATTGGCTACTATTTATTGTTGTTGTTATTTTCTCGATTAACCTAAAAAGTCGTTGGATGACATATCTTGTAGAAACTTCTTTACATATCTTCATAAGATAAGAGAGTACCCTGCATCGAGTGAAATGAATTTTGATATTCCATCTCTCGTTTCGGGGCTATTGAAAGTCCTCCCCCCGACATTTGTGATTGCGCATCGTGCAGCTGAATAATTACTCTATTATCACTTCTTTTCGCATTTTATGAACATTTGATCTTTACCTCTGAAATCCTATCTAATCTATATCTAACCTTCTCCCTATCTCTCTCTCTCTCTCTCTCTCTATCTCTCTCTAAGCTCATTCAAATTGCGTTTTAAATGAAGATCGGCTTGATTGTAAACGAACGAAAAGTATTTAAGGAAATTCTTAGTATATAAATTCAATATATATATAAATTAAATATTAAATCGTTTTTGATATTTTTTATAAAATTATTAACGATATAAATAGATATGTAAATGAATTTTCAAGATCTGCCGATCAGTTTCATAAGAATTCTTAAATAATTTATATAATTTTTTTTTTTTTTCTTTTTTAATGGCAGTTAATTAAAATGTAAGGCGATGTAACACAAAATTATTACAGTAAATATGGAAGAGAGTGATAAAGAGGATAAGCAGATGAAAAAGAATGGATTATCAGAAGCGAGAGCAACGGGTAGCAAATATCAAGAGAATGGCCCGACGGATAAAGACAACAAAAATGGTTAGAATCATGCATTTTTTTTTTTTTTTTATTTTCTTATATATAATAATAAATTTAGATAAAGATTCGCTTGATTTTCTTCATTTGTCTTCTTGTCGTGCAGTTGATGGCAACAAGGAAAAGTTCTCGTCATTTTGCGGTACTACAGCAATCAATGCATCGGCCGGTAGTTCGTCTTCGGCCAAATGCGGCAAAGTCTCTGGAGATATATCAGATAAAAGCGAAAGTGATGCTATTAAGCAGAGTGTTAGCGCTATCAGCCATGCGACAATGGGCACACCTTCTAAAGAATTGCTCAAAACTAAGGAACCTATACGAGTGGGATTTTACGATATTGAAAGAACGATTGGTAAAGGAAATTTTGCGGTGGTCAAATTGGCTCGTCATCGTATCACCAAAAATGAGGTGAATTTGCCAAATGTCACTCTTCAATATTGATACATGTTACGCTTAAATAAATCACTTTTAATAATTGATTTTTTATAGGTGGCTATAAAAATCATCGATAAATCTCAGCTGGATGCAACTAACCTGCAGAAGGTTTATCGTGAAGTCGAAATCATGAAACGTCTTAATCATCCCCATATTATTAAATTATATCAGGTGGGTAATTCGCGTTTTTTCGCGAAATTTACGGAGCGTTTTAAAATACTCTCATTTTATGTCAAATCTCTTTCAAAATCTCTTAGGTAATGGAAACAAAGAATATGATTTATATAGTTTCAGAGTACGCTAGTCAAGGCGAAATTTTCGGTAAGCTTGAGGATTACTTTTTTCTTTGGTCGATTACTTGAGTAAGGCGGGTTTATTTGTGTAGATTACATCGCGAAGTATGGACGTATGTCTGAGACTGCTGCGCGATTTAAATTTTGGCAAATTCTCTCAGCTGTGGATTATTGCCATAAAAAGGGAATTGTCCACAGAGATCTTAAGGTAAATATTTTATAATTGTTAGAAAATGAAAATATCATTTTACTAATATTTATTTATTTATTTATTTATTTTATTAATTAATAATTTGGAATTGCAGGCTGAAAATCTTTTATTGGACAATAATATGAATATAAAAATTGCCGATTTCGGTTTTTCTAATCATTTTAAAAAGGGTGAGCTTTTAGCAACTTGGTGTGGCTCACCACCATATGCGGCCCCGGAAGTATTTGAAGGAAAACAATATACCGGACCCGAAATTGATATATGGGTAATTATTATGCCATTAGAATTACAAACTTTGGCTTATTTTCATTAACACTCAACTAAGATTGTCACTGTCTTAAATCAAAAAGTCTCCCAAAAGGCAGTCATCAAGGCAATCATCAAGTTTAACCTAAAGTATGATTTTTCATTCAATTTTCGTTACAAAATCATGCTCGAAACTAATCGGATAAAGAATTTGCTTATAAATACTAAAATTGTGGGTATATATTATAGAAGGCGAAGTAGGTAAAATTTGTTTTTAGGTTTTACTCTTAATTATATCTATAATACGCTGTCAAATTGTATAAAAGCCTGAGTTGAAATATGTACGATATACGATTTATTTTACGATAAACAGATAGCCGATCGATTAGGTCTTAGGCTCTATGGCGAGTGGATTGACAAAACTTTTCCTTTTTATACCCACCACTGTGTGAGAATGCGAACGGAAAAACTACGGATAAGTTTACGGATGAAGTAGGTCGGAAGAATTTGCGATCGATCCGATCGCTTTTTTAGATCCGTGCAATATTGGTCATCCTATATTGATCAGACAGATGGAGATAGGTAGGTAAGCATGGTAAAGAATTTAAACATAAATCTTCAAAAGCATTATCTATTGCCTAAATGCTGTCGGCCGGGAGACTGAACTAGTTCTAAGGGAATCGTTTTAAACGATGCAATTAGTCGCGAATGTCAAACTCGAGACTTACGCTTGTTTCTAATAATGTGGCGTGACACGAAATCTTTGAAAGTACACACACACGCGCGCGCACACACACACACACACACACACACACACACACACACACACACACACAC